ATTATGTACGATATAGGAGAGAAGATTAATTCATCTGTCTTCCCAGGATTGCAGGGTGGACCACATAATCACACTATTGCTGGTAAGGGATATACATAAATCAAAGTCAGGGAGGTAGAAACACGCTTTTCCTTGAGCGGGTTTAAGGATAAAACTTAATTAATTACATGATTACAATAGTTAAATTGAGTTTAAAAAATTTCTTGCTCAGTAAGTCATGAAGAGGCGTGACCTAACCTCGCTCATGCCACGCCCCTTTCGGTGAGTCTCTCGCGGCCTTCTCGAGAGATTTTTCTGCGTCCGCTACTGTCTATGGTCTGTAAAGAAACTATAAGCAAATGAGAGACCCTCTTCGGTAGTGCGAGGGCTGTTTTTGAAGTGCTAAGCTGAATGTTTATCTTCCAAACATTGTTTTTAGCATCACGCTTCCAAGATATGAATCGTTAAGGTATTGCTGTGGCTCTGAAACAATGTCTTAGCGAAGAATTTGTGAACTACGGGAAACAAGTGCTTGCAAATTCTCAAGCTTTGGCTCATAGATTGATTGAGCTGGGCTATACTCTTGCTACAGGTAACTATTTTTTGTGCTCCATCACTTCATTTTATAAAACTGAAGAGTAAAGTAAAACTGGTTTACTCCTCCAGGTGGAACCGACAATCATCTCTGTCTTGTCGACCTTCGTCCCTCCGGCATCGAGGGAGCTAAGGCTGAGCATGTGCTAGATATGGCTCATATAGCTTGTAACAAGAACACCTGTCCTGGTGATGTGTCCGCTTTCCGACCGGGAGGAATCCGTCTGGGAACTCCTGCCCTGACGTCGCGTGGTCTTAAAGAAAAGGACTTCGAGAAGGTTGCGGACTTCATTCATGAAGGTAAATCTCCGCTAGTTTCCTTTTGTGTTTCCGTTATATAAATAAAACGTGGATTTAATCAGATATAATCCAAGAATGAAAAAAGTATTTCTATTTGGCTTCTATCAGTTAAATTCTATAAATTTAAGAAATTTCTAGAGTTAATCAATGTTTGCACAGGTTTGAATGAGTCAAAAGTAAGATTTAAACCTGTTTTTTTGTCGTTTCGTTTCTATTAATTAGTGTTAACAATTTAAATTTTTGACATATGTTAAGCTTCTTGCATCATCTATCCGCCAATTTTTAGGCTTGCAAATCCTGCTTAAATATCAAGGCCAAGCCGGCAAGACGATGAAGGACTTCAAATCATTTACTGAAACAAACAAGGACTTCCTCAAGGATATCGGAGAACTAGCTGAGGTAATTTTTGACACTGAGCAATCCATCTGGAATTTCCCAAAACATAATAAAGTTTTTACAATTAATGCGTTCTTATCATTTTACATTTTCAGAAAGTGGAGGCCTTTACCAGCCACTTCGACATTCCTGGCAATCCCGAATTTTAAACGTAACAGTGATAATTCAATTTTAATTGCTTGACAAGTGGAAGTTTGTCTTTCGCTCAAAATTTTATTGTAGATTTTGCAGATTGTTATATTTACTAACTTATTCATTCCGTTTTACATATCCTTAAACCGATCCCCCTGGTGATGTTCACTTTTTACCCAATAAGGAATTATAAATGTATTAGAATCTTCAGAAGTTTATATTGTGCATCAAATGCTATTGCAGGCATTGGGGGAAATAGAATTGAAAAAGTACACAAAGTAATAGACAAACTAAAAAATTCACGTTGCCCCAAAAGGCTTGCAAAACCCTTTTGATCCTCCCTTACTTCTCTTTTATGCGATTAGGTCAGATTTCTAAAGAAGATTCTCTTAATTGTGCTAGCTTAATTGGTCATTACACGACGCCCACTCAAGCTCGATTTGAATCAAACAGAGACTGCAATTACGCAGATGAGATTGCAGTTGTAATGAACATGCATTTGAATCTGCTCAGCAAAGTTCTAGTATCGTTTTGTTGTAAAGAAAAGATCTACTAGAAATTTATTTCCCGACAACTGAGGATTTGGTAACATCAAGGACGATAACGATGACTTAAGAACGCCAAAAGTGATAAAAATCAGAATTCTTCTAATGATAATTTCAAACGAAAAGTTATTGAATCGTAGATTAATGACCACTAAAGCTTCTCAGAGATTAAGCTCTGCATAGGCCACAAGAAGGGCATTATAAGAAGTAGCTTATACAAGCATTTTATAAATTACTTTTTAATTGATTTGTAGTCATGATTATTATGAG